TTCAACACCATTGGAGCCCGTCTTGAGCTTGGAGAAGTGCGATTAAACGTCCAGAAGCAGGAATCCAACTTCATAGTATGATTTCCGTGTCTGAATCTGCTTTTGCTTCTTTCTCTATGGAGTAGTTTCCCCATTCATCTGGGTATGGAGAACCCTAGATTTGTATGCTAGGTCTGATTGTATGAACCCAAGTACAGTGTTTGTGAATTGATTATATTCGATTGAGGTTTGAATGATTGAATGACTTGAATCCTGATCAAATTCCTGTTGTTTCTGCTTTTGACCTGGAATGAGGATATCTGCCTAGGTTGATAGAGTACCCTTAATCAAAGGTGGCGAATTGGTGACTTTAGTCGATGAGCCAATTCGCTATTCTGTACCGAAGTCAATTTGGTAGTGGAGGTTTGGTTCATTAGGGCCTCAATCTGTTTACTCCGGTGGAGGTTAGTCGCCCGCTAGAGACTCAGATTGAGAGGGTCTGGAGACCTTTAGTCGAGACTTCAGGCTAATTGAGAACCTTCCGCAGTATAACTTTCATGAAAACTGAACTTGGTAAATTGCAATCCGACTTAACTGCAGTCTAGGGGGAAACCATATCCGGGTGACCTCTCTTGACTTGACAACAAACCGTTTACTTGCTTTGTGTTTTGTTTGCTTGAGTTTCACTAAAAGTTCACTGCTAAATAACAAGAATTCACCGAGTAGTCATCACATCTAGGACCCGGGTTGACATTAAAACCCGACCCGCTATACTACGCTTTAGGAAGTGGTTATACTTGGCCATTTTCTAGGGTGACAGTAGGAGTGAGTCAGTCACCCATCCTTGTTGTACTCCACCTTGAGCACGTTTAACTTCGAAGTTCTCACAAGAACTCCTCCATTTCACCCCAAAACGAGTCTTGTCGGTTAAGATCGGTTTCCTACTTATGAACTATGAATCTCTCCCGTGCTTTGTCGATGTGCTTTCCTTAAGAAATCTTACGGGTCGGTTGGATCCGGTTTAAGCCGTAGGAAAAGGATCAAGGTTGTTAAACTGGATTATCCGATGGAGTCGATTTGACAAGTGATTTGTGGTTTAATGGTTAGATTAGGTTCAATCAGTTTAACATAATATATGTGGAAAAAAATTCTAATACTAGATATATATGTATATATTTGACATATTTTAAAATAATTTCGCTGATTTATATTCATATATTATCAAATTATTTCCTTAAAAGAAATATATATTACAACTGTTTTAGTCAATCCATCTAAATAATAAATGAAACCAACTGATTTTTAGTCATGTTCTTCCTTTTCAATCAAATTTTAGCGATATTTCCTTGAAAAATGACACCAGATTGATATTCACCTTATATATATATATAAAATACATACACATTAAGTTTCAAATGATTTACGTGATATAAAAATTTCCATTTATAAAATGTATATCTTCGTAATAAATTTTCAAGCTCACAAAAAAAACAAATATTTTCATTTAACTAATTTCCGAAATTGTTTCAAACACAAGAACTGGAACTTAAATTTCGGGGAAATAAGAATTATGAACGAATATTCTATTTGTGATCAATTTCAAATATAACTTTGGATTATCAAATTAACAATTACTCCTCCTCGTCATCATCGTCCCCTCCGTTCTCGTCTTTCGAAATTCTTTTTTTTATACTTCCGTCACCGCATCTCCTTCATTCTTCAATTCCCGTCATCTTCTTCATCCTCCCGTCTTTAATTAATCCCCTTAAAGCACGACGGCGTCGAAAAAATCCTCTTCGTAATGACCGAACCGAGCTCTCCCTGTTTGTATTTGCAGCGCCGGACACTGGCAGATCATGCTCGCCGACGGCGGAGGCAGGGAGGAGAATCGCCCGAACCGATCGAAAATTGCAAGGATATCCCGGTGGATACTTTCGTGCTTCGCTCGTCGCTGTTTCCATGGGGCAGGCCACCGCCGCGAAGCGAAATCGAATTTTTCGCTCAGTTCCGAACGCCGCCGCCGCCTCTTCCGTCGCCAGCTCCTCCCCCTCCATCTTCCAATCTGCGAGAGAATCAATACGAGGAGGAGGAATTGGGCGGTGGAAGCGAAATTGAATTAATTGAAACCCTAACTCAGTTCCCGTCGCCACCGCCTCCGCCGCTGCAATCGTCAATCCCCTTTTCAAATCGGTGGTCCAAGACAAAGATGCAGATGCTCGCGCCACCGCCTCCTCCTCCGCCGCCGTCCCTGAATTCATCGTTCTCCCCTTCGAAGAGGTTGTTGTCCAAGAGAAAGATCCAAGTGCCGGCGCCACCGCCTCCTCCGCCGCCCCTGCCTTCGTCATTCGCCTCTTCAAAGAGGTTGTCCAAGAGGAAGATCCCAGTGCCGGCGCCACCGCCTCCTCCTCCTCCTCCTCCGTCCTCCAGTCGTTTCCTCGGAGTTGTTCCTCGCCGAGAGAATCGAGATGAGGAGGAGGAGGAGAAGGGCGGAAGAAGAGAGGAAGTTTTGACAATCAAATCTCCGCCGCCGCCGCCACCGCCACCTCCTCCTCCGCCATCGGTCTCCCATTCGCCATTCGGGAAAGCAACCAAAATCAAGGGAATCCACTCAATTCCACCGCCGCCGCGGCCGCGGCCGCTGCCGCCAACGCGTCCTCGGCGGTCGTCACTAAAACCAATTCACTTTTCGAAGATTGGGTCCGACAGAAAGATCCAACTGCCCGCGCCACCGTCGCCGCTGCCGGGTCCTCCGTTGGCGCCGCAAAGAGTGGTAGATCCACACAGGAGGAGGCCGGTCGAGCGTCCGCCTTTGGAGGATATAGTGGGTGACAACGGTGGCCAGCCACCATTAAACACAGTGCCTCCACCACCGCCGTTGCCGTCACCAAGAATGGACGGCGAGGAAACGGGGAGCGGGCACGAGAGTGAAGGTGGGTACGGGTCGGTTTCTCGACCCGATGCTAACGTACAGGCTTGTACGTTATTTGTTGGCAATTTTGTAATTACTTATTCGTTAATAAGCAACTAGCTTCTTTTTTTTTTTTGTGTGAAAGCAACTAGCTTTATAGTACTTTACCTAAAATTAGTGTCTTTTAGTTTTTTTAGTAATTATTTATTGGCTATTAATAGATTTGAAGATTTAGTGGTTAAGACTAATTTTTTTATATAAATTCTAAAATAATTCCAAATAAATAATTGCTAATCCAATATTCACAAAGTCCAGTTTGGATGTATATGACTTATTTAGACTTATGTACTATTTATTTATATCAAAATAATTCCCAAATAAATAATTGCTAATCCAATATTCATGAATAAGTTGCTTATCCATTAAGTTTTGTGTTTCATTTTAACAAAAAAAAAAAAAAATTCTCACGATTGCATAAATACATTATTTGAAATTCCAACTTCCAAACTGCCCCTCAATTATCGATATTTCAATTATCCATACTTACTTTGTCTTCGTATGAAAGGCCGAGTAGGAAGGAAAGGTGGAGAAAATAAAATAAAGATAGAGAAAAAAACAAAAGATCCAAAAATATAGCAATAAATAAGAACAATCTAATGTATTTTATTCTCTTTTGCAAGTTTACTTGGACCCAGCCTTTGGGTGAAATATTAAATTTAGTTTTACTAGTTTAAGTTTAATTTTATTTCTATTGAGCATTTTTAGTTGAGCAGTTTGATCCATCGCAATATCAATATATCAAGAACCCCCTAGAACTTGATTATAGACTTATAGTTAATAGATAGCTTTGTCGGCTATGTTAATCTGATCGATATTCATAAAAGTTTCTATACTTTGTTTAGATTTTTGCATGCATCAGCTAAGATTTCATGACTGTAACACTTGATCACTCATCATAAAAAAAATCCATAGGTGTGCACCTTAGTTAATTTGTGGATGTTGAAACTTGCACGAATGGTGGATGATGGGAACCTTTTGCCTCTTATGATGGTCCATTACTCCATTAGTTAGATTGTCTTTAAAGACAAAAATAGATCATAATTGGTGACCCAATAGAATTAGGACTGAGTAGAAACCAACTCCATATATTAGTGAAGATTTATAATTGATCATATTTTATTTATTTTAACTCGTATTTTTTTATATAAAAAAATTGAATTGGTTGAACTGTACAGTATGACATTCATTTTTATATATTTGGAGAGAAAACAAAAGTTGAACTAAGAGAATCGAACCTGCGGAGAATTCATTAATTTTTTTTTAATTTATAAGTGATCAAGTTTTGTGTTCTATACTAATCTTGCTTAATTTATTAATATTTATAGAGTATTTCAATACGAGATGACTAAATAGAAATCTAAATTAAATTTTAGAACATATTTTTAAGCTGAATCAAACATGCCGAAATCATAATACCGTCTGCGGATCTTGCATTCTGAAAATTTTACAAGCAAATTCATCATAAAATGTTTGATTTTTTCTTCATTCAATTAATTTTAGATTACTTTATCTAATTTTACTCATATCTAAATTACAAATTGACTGCGGCTGTTGAGGTACTTCATACTGGATGTCCATCGTGTAAATGTGAATACAGAGTGGAAACTATTGACTTAATTATCTAACAACTAATTCACAATTGCTGGAAAAATATTTTTTGCTCGATTCTTAAGTAAAATATTTTCTTAAAATAAAATACAGAGCGTATATCCTCCTAGCTACTAATATATGTACTTCCTTTCTTATATTAATCTAGCACATGGATGTACATAATATTCCATTTAAGTTTATGCATTGTGAATATAAAGGTCTCATAAGTGAAGATGAAGGCGCGTGGAAAATATAGCTCGATTCACAGTCATTTATGAAATTATTTATACTATCGATGATATTCTTCCGACCAACGGACGGACACAAATCTAGTATAGCTAGAAATAACAAAAGCGCAATGTTAATTATCACTATCCAACTAATCAAACCACGTAATAATAAATAACACAAATTATTCTTAACTAAATTCAATAAACCAACTAATGAAAATCTAATATTTAGCCTAGGCGGAAGAGCCAGCAGTGCAGTCCGCGGGCTCGAAGGACAGAGTCTCTCCCTTCAAATCGTACCCAACCCTGAAATTCTGCTGCGCCACGTTCCCATAGATCGCCAGCGACGCCGAGCCGGCGAACGCCAAGCACACCACGTTCTCCTCCGCCTCGACGAACGTGTTCCCGGTCTTCAGCTCCACGTCGGCGCCGCCGTCGAAATGCATGGTCAGAGTCGGCGCCTGGAAGCTTCCGGAATCCTCCACCTCGAAACAGGTGTCCAGCCCTTGCACCTGCACGGGCGTCCCGCCGCTGACCTGGCTGCTGACGGCATCCGCCAGCTCGGACAGCACACCCTTCGGCACGATCGTCAGCGTGGTCCCGGAGTCGATGATGATGTTTCCCCCGGACGAGCCGCCGCCGGAGCCGCCGGCGGTGAAGGCGATCTTCTTGGTCCCGACGCTGATGGCGTCGAGGCGGAGGAAGTAGAAAGTCGGGTTTCTAGGGTCGGTGAGGAGCGGGGTGGACACGCCGCCCGAAACGGCGGCGGATTGGCCGAAGGTGAGTGTGCTGGGTTTGTCGTCGCCGAATGAGGCGAGGCAGTAGGAGAATTTCCCGCCCGTGGTGGACCCCAGCTGGCTGACGAGGGAGGCGGCTCCGCCGCCGAGTCCCACGATTCCCGAGGCGTTTGGGGAGAACGTTCCCCCGCCCGCGTGGCTGCACCCGAAGATTGTCTTCGGTAGAGCGACTTTCCGGCCGGCGGTGGAGTCGAGGGTTAGGGTTTCCGTCGCCATGTCGCCGCTCGTGTTAGAGCCGTCCCCATACGTTACCTGCATGCATGAATATATGGAGCGTACATATAAAAATATTAATATATGTAATTGTTATTGTATAGGGTTAAACATGTTGGAAAATATCTCTTTGCACGTGTTAGGTGACAGAACAACTAAGACCAGTTCATTTATGCCATTTTGTGCTTATTTACGTAATAATATGGTGATTTACGTAAGAGTGTAAGATGTTCACGTAAATGGAAATTAATATTTTTTCTCCCTAATAATTTGTATTGGCTATATTTTATGGAATTAAATATGGATTATCTCCGTATAAATATGTTGCATTGCTCATAATCTACACAATGACATCTATTTTGATATATTTCAAAGTTAAAATTTTTATTTTACAACGGCGTGAATAACTAACAAATTACTTGAATAAACATCAGATGGTCTGACCTTACAGTATTGGTTACGTGAATAATCAGCACTCTTACGTGAATAACGCAAATATGGCGTGAATGACACAAATATGTCGTGAATAACCCAAAATCAGGTGTTTTGTCACGTGACAAGAGACTTCACTCATCCAAACATGTTATAAGTTTACAATACGAAGTAAACTTGTACGTAAGTCATTGCTGACTAATTGTTGTTACCTGGTAGTGGCAAACGTCGTCGGCGTCGCTAGAGCAAGAGGCGCCTTCGTCGGTGAGCGAGGTGCAGGTTTCGGAGGAGCAGGAGATCTCCCTGTACGTGGTGGAGGATTTGGGGTCGAACATCGGGGAGGTCTGACTGTAGCAGCCGGCGCAGGGCTCGCACTGGGTCCAGATGACGTCGCTCCCGGTGTCGGCGATGGCGACGATGGGGAACGCCGGGGTCCCCAGCGACACGTGGACAAGGTAGGCCCCGCTGTCGGCCGTCACGGGCGCCTCGGCGTCCATCGGGGACGAGAGCCCGAGCCTGCGCTCCAGGAAGCGGGCTCGGTCGAGGGATCGAGCCGCGGCGTTTCGGACTCTCTGAGGTTTGGAGAGGTCCGGGTGGGACGACAAGGGGGAGCGGGTTGAGTCGCGGTGGATTAGTTCGACGGTGAAGCTGTTGCCTTTTGCGGCGTTGGGGGCGGCGGCGAGGAGGAGGAGGAGGAGGGCGACGGTGAAGGTGAAGGTGGCGGCGGTGGTGGTCATGGTTGTTTGATTGCGTGAAAGTGTGATCTCGAGAATGGAGGACTTGATTTGGTTGTTGAGAGTGAGGACTTGGGATTTATATTGTGTACGGTGGGAGAGATGGAGGGGAAATTAATGTCGGAATCAAAGTTTTGCTTGATTAGGGGATGTGATATTATTGTGAGAATATTAGGGTAATTAATTATTAAAATGGGGCAACTTTGATTTGTTCTCGTCTTCTCGATTTGATCATGGGGATCTCTCTCAAGTGATTACGCAGAGAGACGTTAAGTTTAGTACTAGTATTTCAAATGGAGATATCAAGGGGGAATAGTGGAGCAAGGTTGTTATAAGTTATAACCGGTCGGGGTGGTCGAACCGTGGGTTGACTTGGACCCGCGGTGAGGAAAAATGAGAGTACCACACACTCGCGATCGCTTTGGACTTTGTCTGGATTGGTCAAACCCACTTCAATTGGGCGCAAAATCGGCTTCAACGCCGATCAATCTCGGTCGACGAAGTTTCATTCTAGAAGGTCAATTTGCTTCGTGTAATGTTATATGTTATAGAGATTTTATATATAATGATTTTTTTCCATATATATCCAAGGTAAACCAGACAAAAACGATCAGACCAATAATTCCTCACCTAGTGCTCGATCGGGCTAAACCGGATTGACAATGAGGACGAAGATCAGATCAGCATGCAGATCATCTAATCATCGCTGCCTTTAATTAGTCTTATTAATGTACCAAATTGTTGAAGAGATATGCTGCATATTACGTTAAGAATTCAGAAACATGTACAACATTACAAGAGATACATATGGTATCAAAGAGAATCTATGCAGTAATATGGAGAGTTAATTGGGGACGAAGGTAGCAGATGATCACAGCCTTTAATTAGGCTAATGTGTATCAAATGTAGAACAGATATGGTAATATATACGTTTAGAGCAGAAACACATATATGAGACCCTGTGCCTAGGCTATAGTATCTAAGAGAATCTTGTACAGCTTAACTACTTATGAATTATAATCATCAAGTATATACTACGTATATTGTCAAAAAAAAAAGTATATACTACGTACGTACGTAAATAACTATATATGTTGATATGACTTGAATCGGATTATCAGCCGCTACGACTGGTAATCGGGGGTCTCGCGGCCCACGGTGTATGGGCTCAATGTTATTTGGGTTCGGGTTCTGGGCCTGGTCTGTAACCGTTTCCTTTGCTAGATTGGATTAGGTTTAGACCCACATGGAGAAGTACTATAAATACTTCTCATACTCCTCTGTAATCTGTAATCTCCTCGATATAGTGAAACTGGCTCTCTCTCGCCCGTGGACTAGCTAACACACATCGTGTTAGTGAACCACGTAAATCGTGTGTCTGTGTTCTTTCGATTCTCGCTCTCGTATTCTTGCTTTGTCGATTCCGGCGATTTCCCGATCCGTAGCAGCGCGTTTATAACAATATATAATGGGCGAAGAATGCATGCAGTAAAGTTCAATTCTGATATTGTCAAAAAAAAAAAAAAAAAGTTCACTTCTGATGATTCTGCCACGAACGTATAATCCTTCTCCATTTGGGTGGAGTAAATATATACATGCATGGCGCTTTGCTTTACTATTTCTTTTACAGATATGATTTGACCAATGAATCTAATGTTTTAGGGTGTTTAGCATACGTTTGTAGCTCCCTGAGTGGCTGAGTTATTTGGATGGTACCCTAAAGATATGAGATTCATGATTGCAAATTAGTCCACGTACATAAAGTTCCAAAACTATAATTAATTGTAATAAAATTTGTCATACATATTTAAAATGGAGTCCATTCTACCGTCCTATGAACTATGAAGGGCTATTTTTTTCGTCAGAAAATGGGACGCAAAAAGGGTGTCCCTGTTTGATACTTAAATTAATTAATTGGGTTTGGGCTATGCTCGAAGAGTCATACAAAAGCTAGAACGACAGACCGGGGTCTGTAACGTCAAAATCATGAAAGCCTTTGCTAATAAAGTGCTAATAAAGTGGCCTTTATTTGCGAGAAAATCTGCAATCTTGATCTCCCAATTTTGTTGTAGGAGTCTTCGGAATTGATGAATCAGGTTGTGGTATTTGTGCTCCGTCTGGTCAGAGGAGGTAAGGACGGTAACCACTGTCATGGAATCAAGTTGGAGATGAACTTTTCGGTAACCTGCCCTCCAAGCTATCAACAGATCTCTTATGGCCGCCATAATATCTGCTTAGTAATCATACATAGCCCGAGGTTCTCAACAATACCTTGCAATTTCCTGTCTAGTCCCGAATTAGACCACCACATGCAGCCAATGACCCGGGTTGCTTGACTGAGTCTTCGGTGTTGACGCACACCCATCCCGACGGAGGGGGATCCCAAGCAAGTCGATGTGGCGATTTCTTGGGGGTGACAGCGTGGGCGCCTTGTCGTCTGCTTGAGCTTATCGAATAGTGTTCGTCTAGCATATGATCCTGTGCACCAACACGTGGTCTTCCTGGTTCAGATTATGAAAAACTTTCTCGTTCCGTCGCTTCCAAAGATACCATGCTGCTACTACGAAAAGAAAGCCATCTTCTTCCTTCTTGAGATGGGCATCCAACCAACCTATAAACCCAAGACCTCAAGTAAGTAAGTTATCAAGTATCCCTAGCCTCCGCCACACCTGTTGAGAGTTTGGGCAATGTCGCATAATGTGCTCCGCAATTTCGGGTCCATTTTTACAGATTGTCAAAGCATTGGCAATCGTTAGTGTTTGCCTCTTTCGCTCCGCATTCGACATCAACCTGTTGTGAAAGTCAGCTATAGAAAATGTTTAATGCGGTTTGGGCCCGTCCATTTCCATAGCCTCTTCCAGTATGGTTGGTCTGCTGCTTCCTCCAACTCTCAAACCTCGTCTATTATCCATTCCCCCGCCGCCGCATAGACTGAGAGGAGTTTGAATTTTCCATCCAGCTCCAACCCCCATTCCGTGATGTCCTCCCCTGACCCAACAAGCGGAGGATCCATACCTGCAACCAAAGCCACAACGTTCTGAGTTAGGTGATGCGTGAACTCATGCCACTTCCACTCACCTTCATTGTTGGCCATTTCCGCCACTGTAGCATGCCAGTTGATCCCGTCGCCAATCCCTGTAACATTATCCCGCAGAACAACACCCTCTGCTAGCCATGCGTCCATCCAGAAGTGGACATTACGACCTTCCCTAATATCCCAAATAATTATATTTTTAAGTATCGGACATGTGTCCACAATTCCTTTCCAAAGCCTTGAGTAGTTGCTCTTCTTCATGATCATGGTCCTATCTACATTATTTCGAAAGTATTTTCCTTGTAGCCTAGGATGCAGATCCAGAGATCATCCGATTGATTCAGGAATTCCCACCCCAGCTTCATCAGGTAGGATAGGTTCAAAGCCCTAACTGACCGAAGATCGAGACCTCCTTATTCTTTTGGTTTGAAAATTGTCTCCCATTTTCACCAAGTGCGTCGTAGAGTGCCCTTTTTCTGCATCCCAAACGAAGCCTCTAACTTTTTTGTCAATTGTGTCACAAATAGAGATAGGGAGGATCATTGTCTGCATAACATAGTTGGGGAGAGCATTAAGCACCAATCCCGCCAAGGTGACCCGTCCTGCCAAGGACTGACTCCTTGCCTTCCAACCTGAAAGTCTCTGATCGATCTTTTCCAAAATATATTTTTAGGTGTCATTGGTGACTTTTCCGTGGACGACTGGGAGACCCGGATAAAGACCCAGGTTACTCGTAGTTTTTATCCCCGGCATATCATTGATCCCAGGCTAATATCATATTTATTAATTGATCATCCTAATTTCATTATTGGAACACATGATGTGTGAAATTGGTCTGTTTAGCTTTTCTTAAAACTTAGATTATGGCCACAAGATAAGAGATTACATGAGCTATATGATGCATTGAAAGAAAAGCTCGCAAAATGTCCAACATCTTATGCCCACTGATGAACATATTCCCTCTGTTCTAGGATTTTGCTCGAAACTCACGAGCGGGAGAACGACGTTGGTGTCGATAAACTTTAACTTTATTATTTGATAATCAGAACTAATGTCGAACTTAGATATATATATATATATATATAGTGGCGCCTTCGGTGCACTCACTTTTTTGGGTGCATTCAGTGCACTCGCTTCATAACCGTCATTTTAAACATGCAATTTATGTCAAAATGATGTCAATCATCACTTATGATGTGATGAACAATAACGCACATGAATTTGCAAAAAACCATTAAAGATTTACTTTAATTTGAAGGATTTAGAGTTTAGAGATTTAGGGTTAGGGTTTACAATTTGGGGTTTAGGGATATAACTCAAAATTGGAGGTCTAGGGCTTACGGTAATCCGCTAATTAGTTGTTATCATATGTTATGTCATCATATTACACTAATTCTACAAATTAAAATTCAAAATCCGACACCTTAAGACTAGTTTTTGAGTTGGGTGCATTGAACGCACTCATTTTTGTGAGTGCACCGAAGTAGTCACCATATATATATACGGTGCCATCTACAGTACTCCGGGTGAAATCCGGGGTACCGCATACCTTGAGTATGAAAACGCTATCTAGATCTCGAATTAGCAGGATTTTTGGGCATGATACTATGCCCTAACCCTTAATGAGTGAACCCTAGGTCCTAATTATCTAAATCGTAAACTATAAACCCTAAGATGGTGCACTGATTTTTTGCCTATATTTGGACGAATCATAACCGTCGATTATTGTTTCTAATTAAATTGATATTGGGGTATAAGATGTAGAGAATAAGACCTAGATTTTGATCTTTAAAGGTTAGAGTATAGTATCATGTCCGAAAGATCAGTCAATTCAAGTTCTGGATAGCGTTTTCTTACTCAAGGTATGCGGTACCCCGGATTTCACCCTGGGTATCTTAGAACTTCCCATATATATATATATAGTGCCTTCTATCTTACCTTGGGTAAAATCTAGGATACAACATACCTT